CCACACCTGTTCTCAAATCATCTTGATACTTCATTGGAAAGTGGTTAAAAATTTCTCACTGTAACCAGATGTTCCAAAACCAAAACTTTCAGTTTACCAGCACATGCCATGGCATGAAATTGTTAAAAATGTTACTTTGGGAATTTCTGTACCACAACTTAACTGAATGAGGCCTGTTTTTTTGAGGGTGGAGAGCAGAAATGGAAGTATAGCATGTTTTACCACACTACATATTTAGGATTATTAAATTTTCCCCACATTTGAAAATACATATACTCACATCATACATTGATGTGAATTTGAGAAGCAGAAGTTATGTAATAAAAACAATGCAATTAATTTAAAAATACTTAGAGTTCTGTATGTACTTTCTGTATACAGTTTCTAAAGAATGAACACATCTGTACTGGGTTTACGTGGCAAGGTTTTGGTAGCGAGGGGGACCATAGGGGTGGCTTCTGTGAGAAGAATCCAGAAGCTGCCCAATGTTAAATAAGGACCCCACTGCTGGCCAGAGCAGAGCCAATAAGCAATGTTTTTTGCACCTCTGAGCATATTTAAGAAAGGGGAAAAAAAAACTGCTGCAACTCCACAGCTGGGAAAGTGAGAAACAGCCTTGCAGGCGCCAAGGTCAGTGAAGAAGGAGAGGTGCTCCAGGCACCAGAGCAGAAGTCCCCTGTGTACTTCTGTGGACCATGGTGAAGCAGGCTGTCCCCCTGCAGCCCATGGAGTACCACAGAGGAGCTGGGTTCCACACTGCAGCCTGTGGAGGAGACCACAGTGGAGCAGGTGGACCTGCCCTGAAGGAGGCTGCCACCTGTGGAGGACCCCCACCGGAGCAGATTCCGGGCCGGACCTGTAGCCCATGGAGAGAAGCCCACGCAGTAGCAGGTGACCTGTCAGCAGCTGCTGCCCACGGGGGACCCAGGTTGAAGCAGTTTGCTCCTGAGGGACGGACCCCATGGTACAGACCCATACCTGGAGCAGTTCTGGAAGAGCTACTGCCTGTGGGAAGCCCACGCAGGATCAGTTCAGGAAGGATTGCACCCTATGGGTGGGACCCCATGGCCTAGGGGACGAGAGTGATCGAGAAGGAGCGGCAGAGACAAAGTGCTGAAAACAGTCCCCATTCCCCTGTGCCACTCAAGGGGGAGGAGGTGGAAGAGGAAAGCATTTTTGGTTTCTTTCCTTTGTTTCTCCCTTCTCTAACTTGTTAGTAAGATTTATTGCCTATTACTGTCTCCCTACTCTGAGTCCATTTTGCCCATCACAATAATTGTTGAGTGATCTCCCTGTCTTTATCTCAACCCTCGAGCCCTTTGCATCATATCTTCTCCCCCTTCCCCTTTGAGGAGGGGGAGTGAGAGCACAGCCGTGGTGGAACTCAGCTGCCCACCTGAGTTAAACCACCACAACATCCTAAAGCAAGCAATTTTAAAAACAAGGTGGTAAAAAAAAGCTTTATTAAGAATATTAATTTTCCTTAATAGATGCATTTTGCACTGACAATTTAACATGGGATCAAAAACATCTTACTAGCTTTAAGTAAGACCAGAAATCATGAACTCCTAAACTAATTAAAATCATCCACAGATGTTTAAGTCTAAGCTGTTACTTCATAAAATAGGTGTAAACAAGTGTGCTTTATGTTCAGTTGAAGACATTTTTCTTTTTATTCAGACCATGTTAAATTAACTCCAAAATTTTTAAAACAATTGAAGTATCTTTAGATACTGTAAGCATGAAGCATTTTTTCTTACTTCAAGGTATCCTTCAAAATGAAGGAGAGGTTACAATTCATAATAGTGTTTTATGAGTGATTTATTAATTATTTCCACAGCACTAACAAATACAACACAAAAATAAGCTATGATGTCAGAGCAGCTGAGTACTTTCAGACAAACTTAGTAACGTGGCCACATTTGTCAGCTCTGCTGGCAAAGGATATCCTAAATAGCCTGCATTAAAAAAGTTTCTTGGTTTTATACTATAACGCTTCACCAACTTCAAGTGACTTCTACACCTCCTTCCCTTCAAGTATTACTCAAGAACATCTTTTTAAGCCTTTAATCAAATGTTATCAGTGCATTGCCAAGTAATTCAAGATTTGCTCTAAGAAATAAAATACAATATAGCAAATTAGAGATGCAATCACAGTCACATGATTTAGGATTTTAAATATAGAGACTACATATCGTAATTCAACTACAGTAAGACATGGGTGCAAGAACATAAAATACATATTATTTAGGCAGTAAGTTTACCTTAACTGGAAACAGTTCCAAATGAAAGTGCTGAAATTCTTAGATTTTACGCCTGTCTACATTTCATCTGAATGCTCACATTAAATTCAGAATGTTTAGTTGAACTCTATACAAAACAGTTGTCACCGATAAAAGCTTTAACACTGGTATCTAACATACAGTTCTAATTAACAACAAATATTTTTAAAAAAATTAAGATCTAGATATACCCAACTAAATTGATTTTTCTTAAGGTCCAGATACCTGTAATTCTGGTACTGAGTCATTTCTGAACAATGTTTTTCCCCCACACAGCAGCTGATAGTACTAGAATAACTTCACTGGACTAAGACACCTTTCTATTACTATAATCACAGTAGCATTCCAAGGGTTGTATTGCTTTAAAGCAGGGAAATTAATGCTGTTCAACCTTAATACACAAGCTCACATGTTTTTATTAGATATCACAGCTCTTCAGATACACTATTCTACTGAATTAAGTCCAAAAAACTATTTTCAGGTTTCCATTCCCTAAAATAAAATGCACTGAACTGTGCCTAGGTTACTTTCAAAGATATACAACTGACTTCCTACATGAGTTTCAGCAAGTATTTTTACCTACATTTTCCCCTCTAATTGCCAGTTTCTTTTAAAACTGCATATACACTGTAAAAGTAGAAATTGCAAAATAAAAAGTCAGTCTATCTTAGCTGATAACCACATGTATAGCATAAGTACAGGAAGATAATAAATCCCTAGAATGCAAAGTTCTGTAAACAGCTGAGCTCTGCGGGACAAATTGGTTTAGAACATGAATTCTGGAACTGAGGTGGTTACCGATGCAACACTATTCATCATTTCTATGATCAATCACCTCTAGAGAGCATCACAAGCTTATTATTTATTTTCAGGAACTTATGGTAGGTAAAGACATTACACCATGAAGCTGACGAACTTATTTCTCACAAGTCAAAAAGCAGATATAACTTTATAAAAAGAGGTACAGTGTGGGCAGAGTTCTTTTCACACAAATTCAAATAAATTCTGTGAAATACCTTGTGTTATGTGGCTCCGTTCTGAACAGTCATACTGTATTTAGACAGCATTAACAAATCTTACCCAAATCAGACATAGGTAGATGACAGAATTTGTCAAACTAACCAAAGCACACAATGCAGAGCTTACATGGGCTTGAAGCCACAGATGGGAATCTAATGCACAAACACTAAACCCTTCCACATTAACATGAATAACACTTCTCTTTAGGACCTCTAGCAATATCAGAAACTGAAGCAAAATGAATTTCTGCACTCCACTTCTGCCCAAACCTCTTTAACAAATTTCAAAGTATACTAGACTACCTATAAAGCTTAAAAAGGCCAAGATGTGTAAATAAAATACACTTGGTCTCATACTGAAATAATTCCCTATTAGATTAATTCTATTCTTAATGAGTTTCAAGAATAGTTACACCAACTTTGAAAAAAATAAGACTAAATATCAACAAAAATGCTGAATCTTCTGAATACAGCAGAGCTCTACGTTAAGGGAAACTGTACACTTCTAGAACAGTCTGAGGTTTAGAACATTAAGTCACTCAGTTTCACATCATTAGCTGCCACTCCTACACACAAAACAGTTGCACCTCAGTTAAGGTACATTAAGCTGATGTAGCATAAAAAAAACACAATGGCTCACATAACAGAAAAAGCAATCTAATATATATTTGCTGCTGAGTAACTAAAAGGCAGGCAGAGACCAAAGAACACTGATGGCTTAGGTGGAACTAGCGGTCTAGTACAGTCATTAACAGTGTCTTCAATCAAAGCCCTCCCTCTAACTAAACAAGAAGTAAGGACTGATAACATTAAGAGTAACTGCCCTGTATTATATAATCATGCAGGCCTTATCTCTTGAAAATATATTTTGCCATATTTCTTTGCACAGCTACAGCCCAAAGCCATTTCTTTTGCCTTACCAAATATCGGAATCATCTTATTAGACATCCTTCCTACATCCTTTCACAAACCTAAAAGTTCTTAGATACACTGATTCTTAAGTTTTTCCTATCCCCTGCCTTTATCAAGCCACCTAGGTACAAACATTTAACTCTTGACCCACTCCCCTAAAATAGGCAATTCAAAGCTACGTAAGTTCTTGCACAGCTACTGCTAACCCCAAGAACCATGCCCGGAGCTCATAAATGCATCTTGCTACTGAAAAAAAAATCTACATTCAGATGACCTTATAATCTCTTTCAACATTCAATGAGAAAAATCTGCATCACAAAATAAACAAACAAACCCTAATCCAAAACACCATATTATAAGACCAAAATCGAGATGTCCTTGACCTACTTAAATAAAGAATCCATGCTTCAGTTTCCAAGAACCTATCTTTCAAGAGCCCCGATCAGAAAATATTTCTACCCAGAAACTACCCTGATTTAATATTTACAATATATTCATGATGAGCACTGTATTTACAGACAAAATGACTACCTAGAGAGTTACCATGGTCAAAAGCCAGGAGGGATAGCTAGATCAATTGCCACAACTCAGATTCTTTTTTTCTACTGAAACCTGACAAAGCTTTTTCCAAGTACCTCATCCGTACAGTAGCACCATAATACCCCTTTGACCAAGGCTTCAGAAGACTAGGCACTACACTATCAAGATAGTCAATATGAACTTTGAAGCAGTATGAATATGATGTAACATGCTACTTTAACCAGGATTTAAGAGTCATCAATTTTACCTGAAACATATTCTCATCTTTGTTACTGCTTTGCTTAGAAGAAGCGGCACCTTTTGAGCTTTCACCCGTCTTTTGTTTCTTTACAGGCTTTTCTGGAGCTGCTTGCTTTTTCCGCTTGGCCTTGAAGCAAGAATAGAAATGCATGAACCATAGCTTTCAACCACTAGTTACAAAAAAGCTTCCATTAGAAGCTACAAACTACTATTACACACTACCACATTCCTTTTGTGATAGCAGGCCTCCAATACTGTACAATTTAGACTGGAATTCAAAAAAAAAATAATCTCCAAGTGAGCCTAATTCTGCTCCCAGTGAAATCTGTAATACTCTGGCTTTAAAGAGAGTCAGATCAAAGCATATTTCAAAAAGCCTACTTCTTCTGCGCAGTAATATTGTTAGTTCAGTAGTTTTTAAATCAAAAAAATAGTCTGATGGAAGTTTCACGTTTTTCTTCTGAAAACAACAAAAATGCAGGACAGCTAACAACTTCTAAAAAATAACAATGAGATAACAAAGAAAGGATCTGGAAGTCACCTCTATTTAGGTAACTTTTTTTCCTTTATTATCAGAGCCCCATCTCTGTCTATAGCATAACGAATGTTTTCAAAATATTCAGATGGTATCAACTGTAAATCAGATTACTTGCAGATGCTATGAAGTTACCATTTCTATCAATATTCATGATAAACATACGCCCAGTCCACCTCCCTCACGCCAAGAAAAGTGATGCAGAAATACCAAAAGTTAGTTTCACCTGCTAGAACCATATCATGGGTAGCCTCTTTCAAAGAGGAATGGTTGCAACAAATACAGGAGGTTGTCAGAGAAAAAAAAAAAAAAACCTCATTGCCCACTGAAGCAAAAAGTTTGAGTATAACTTCTCAAGAATACATTTCCCTACCAAAAAAAAAAAAAAAAAATCACCTATTTTCTCTTATATTAGCATTTGACAGAATACCTAATTTGCTTATGGCAACTACATCTCGTTTGAATCAATTCAGTAAAGCAGACTGTCTTCTCATATACATTAAAAGATCTAATGTATCCATTACCACCTAGCATTTCTAAAAAAGGTAATTCATTATTATACTCAGTTTTTGTTCATAATGACTGGTACACCAACAAAAACTTACAGATTAACTTAAAAATAAGTGGGAACATTTGATTTACACATTTAAAAACAGTTAACATGTAAAAACTAATCAACTCAAAGACACTCAGGTTGGCCCAGCTTTTAAGTAAGAAACTAGCAGATAGTATTACAGTAAAAGAAAAAGAACACAAACAATATGAGCAAGTGGTACAGGGATAACTAGGCAGGTGGAGATTTTCTGCTTATACCAAAGCCTTCTGTCTACGAAGCTTATGGCTAGATATGCCACGTGGAAAATATCGCATAAAGCAAAATGCAACTTAAAAAAAGTTTACCACAAGACAAAAGACTCTTACCTACTCAAGCCCTAATCTTTTTTTTTTTTCACGTGTCTGATAAATCACATGGAACAACACGTACTTTGCCACATAATAGTTATTACAATAGTAACAAACCACATGTAATTTTCACCTTTTTGTCAGCTTCACTATCTGAATCACTGGCAGATGAGCTTGAAGACACAAGTTCCTTTGACTTAGGCATTCTACAAAGAGAAAGCTAACATGAGAACACTGTACAATAGGTACATCCCATTACATCCAGAAAGTAATCTTCAAACCTATTTGTAAATCATCACTTTATTCAAAACCCTCCTAAGCTTTCCTGTCTTTTCATATAAGCTTTAATACACACTGTTCATGTGATCTCAAGCACCATTCCCTATTCCCTTTTTTTTTTTTTTTTTGCTGCAACTGCCTTAAATGCAGTGTTTTAGTTTCAAAACTGTTTAGAAAGGGACTTTTTTCCAAGAACACAGTATACTACTATCCTTCACTTGAATTCTTAATGCTACATTCATAAACAAGCTATTAAGGCCAAAGCATTATCTATATTCTTACACAAAGATTTTGCCTAGTTGAATGTGCAAGTAACAGCTATATAATCGTGCACTAAGCTAAACTTCCCACCAGTAATACAAGTCTAAAAAAAACCTTAGTTACAATGAGCTACAGCATTACAATTAATATTTCTACTGCAGCTTTAACAAATCAGTCGCTAGGGTCTATTAAATTGCCAAACAAGTGGATATTCGACTTTCCTTGAATGCATGCTGACAGGTGTTTCTACATCTCTTTACTATGCAAACGCGTGGTAAGATATAGCAGTTGAACATCTTGCCTGCTACTAGAAACTCTTTGTGACAAGTAAACAACTTATTTTTCTTTCAGAGTAAAAATAATCATAACAAAAACTGAATATAAAACTTAAGCTATGAAAGGCTAGGAAAATATTAGAGAAGCATATCTCAGTAAAGGAAAATGTGTGTTTTTAAACAAACTAGTGTTGAAATAAACCACATGCACAGGTAAAAACAGAGTTTGAACAATGCTAATGGCTCAATATGGTTCTAAAGTGGGGCAAATTCTGTCATAATAGCTTGGAAAACAACGATGGAAGCTGTAACACTGAAAATGAAACACCATACGCTGGAGCAAACAAGCTATGCTGCAGAATAGAGAGCAAAGGAGAGCTGGAAGGGGACAAGGCAAAATCAAGCAGTAATCACACGAAATCGAGAGGCCGAAGGAGACCAATAACGCAGGGCCAAGAGCCACAAACAATAACCCTGAAGCCTGCATTAGGATGAGTAAGCACCAACAAGGAGGAAGGTGAGGAGTAAAAATTGAAGTTAAAAGGGGGGGGGGGGGAAGGGGTTAGCGGTACTCCCTGAGGAGAGATTGGCAGTCAGAGAGCAAGGAGACAGAACCACCTGGGAAAGTGAAAGACAGACCACACGAGGACGAAGAGAAGGGAGAAGAGAAAGAGGAGCTGGGAACACCAGTAGGCGGATCCCAGCCGCCATTTTCCTCCCTTCCTCTTTTTTCCGCGTCTTTCTTCACCCCCCCCCCCCCCCCCCAGGGCAAGTGACGAGGGCCCAGATAGGAGTCGCGGGCAAGGCTGCCCAGGTCCTCTTATGGCAAGATAACAGAAAGAGGGCAGCAGCGAAAAACAGGAGAAACAGTTCCATATCATCGTCGACCCCCGTTCCCCCCCCCCCCCAAAAAAAAAAAAAAAAAAAAGTGGTGGAGGGGGCAGTTGGGAACCGTCTATAGGCAGACTGCGACTCCGGCACAGTGGGAACAGAGTCGAGTAGCTCCTTACCACCATTTTTTCCCTCGCTCAAGACCTCATTGCCCACCCCCCCCCCCCCCCCAAACCCCCCCCCCCCCCAACGCGTGGACTTCTCCTCAATAGCGGTTCCTCCTCCCACCCCCAGCCCACTCCCCAGTGGGGCATCCCTCCCACGGGGTGCAGCAGACACTTGAGGAAAGAAGAAGGAAGCTCCAACACAGGGCTACCTCAGCGCGCCGCCCAGGAGGCATCGAACTCTTAGCAGACAGATATCAGAAGACAGAACAGATAAAACGACAACAGACCCAGGAAAAGAGGAAAGCCTAAAACTCACATCCTTCTCCACGCGGAGGTCCACTGTACCACTGGAAGAACGGAAGTGACGCACTATGAAATCCACACCCTTGCCGTGTACCACGTGAAAGGGGGAAGAAGAGGAGGTGTTTAAAGGGGACGCGACCGCTTGTCTCTCGCCTTTTCTTCTGTGGTGGGAGCCTTACGTTAGGTGTGTAAAAAGGAATTCGGCTGTGAGGAGCCCATTGGTTGTGCAAACAGCTGCTTGTCGTGGCTGTTCTTCGAGTTCTCTAGCACTCGCGCCTGAGGGGACGCCACGCGCGTGCTTTGCATGCTGAGACTGCAGCCCCAGGCGTCACCTGAGGCGCTGTCTAGGAAAGCGTTGCTTCCCCTTTTTCGCAGCAGTGTGTGCTTCGTTTTCCTTCCCTCAAGTGATGGTGTTGGTAAATGTTAACATAGCAACAGGTGCCTTGGTAGTGAAACCAGTATTGTTGCTAGCAATGTATACCATAAGTGCTTATTTAATCTAAACAACAGATAGTTAGGATAAATATTATGAGTATCTGGGAGATTATTGCTAGGTGAATAGTTTGGAAACTAAAGTAAATACCATTGAAATCCAATGTAATCAGTAAAGTATCTAAGTAACTGAAAAAGGTAAATAGAGATAAATAAAGGGACCAATCAGGTTAATAAAGGGGGTGTGGTTATACCTGGGGAGGTGCCCCACTAGACCTTCTCTTCACAGAGAAGGACTGGTGGGAGATATGGTGTTTGGGAGCTGTCTTGGGCAGAGTGACCACAAAAATGGTAGAGTTCTCTTTTCTTCGCGAAGTCAGGAGAGGGATCAGTAAAACTGCAGTCTTGGACTTCTGGAGAGCTGTTCAGGACACTGGTTGGTAGAGTCCCTTGGGAGGTGGTTCTGAAGGGCAGAGGAGTCCAGGAAGGCTGGGCACTCTTGAAGAGGGAAATCTTAATGGCTCAGGAGCGGTCTGTCCCCACGTGCCCAAAGATGAGTGGGCGCAAAAGACCAGCCTGGCTGAACAGAGAGTTGTGGCTTGAGCTTAGGAGAAAAAAAAAGGTTTACAATCTTTGGAAAAGAGGGCAGGCCACTCGGGAGGACTACAAGGAGGTAACGAGGCTGTGCAGGGACAAAATTAGAAAGGCCAAAGCTCATCTGGAGCTCAATCTGGCTACTGCTGTTAAAGATAACAAAAAATGTTTTTATAAATACATCAACACAAAAAGGAGGACTAAGGAGAATCTCCATCCTTTACTGGATGCGGGGGGGAATTTAGTGACAAGAGATGAGGAAAAGGTGGAGGTGCTTAATGCCTTCTTTGCCTCAGTCTTTAGCGGCAATACTGGTTGTTCTCTGGATACCCAATACCCTGAGCTGGTGGAAGGGGATGGGGAGCAGAATGTGGCCCTCATAATCCATGAGGAAATGGTTGGCGACCTGCTACAGCACTTGGATGTACGCAAGTTGATGGGGCCGGATGGGATCCACCCGAGGGTACTGAGAGAACTGGCAGAGGAGCTGGCCAAGCCGCTTTCCATCATTTATCAGCAGTCCTGGCTATCAGGGACGTCTCAGTTGACTGGCGGCTAGTAAACGTGACGCCCATCTACAAGAAGGGCCGGAGGGTAGACCCAGGAAACTATAGGCCTGTCAGTTTGACCTCAGTGCCAGGGAAGCACATGGAGCAGATTATCCGGAGTGTCATCACACAGCGCTTGCAGGGCAACCAGGCGATCAGGCCCAGTCAGCACGGGTTTATGAAAGGCAGGTCCTGCTTGACGAGCCTGATCTCCTTCTATGACAAAGTGACGCGCTGGGTGGACGAGGGAAAGGCTGTGGATGTGGTCTACCTCAACTTCAGTAAGGCTTTTGACACCATTCCCCACAACATTCTCCTCAAGATACTGGCTGCTCATGGCTTGGACTGGCGCATGCTTCATTGGGTTAAGAACTGGCTGGATAGCTGGGCACAAAGTGTTGTGGTGAGTGGAGTTAAATCCAGTTGGAGGCCGGTCACTAGTGGCATCCCCCAGGGCTCAGTACTGGGGCCAGTCCTCTTTAATATCTTTATCGATGATCTGGATGAGGGGATCGAGTGCACCCTCAGTAAGTTTGCAGATGACACCAAGTTGGGTGCGTGTGTCAATCTGCTTGAGGGTAGGAAGGCTCTGCAGGAGGATCTGGATAGGCTGGACCGATGGGCTGAGGCCAACTGCATGAAGTTCAACAAGGCCAAGTGCTGGGTCCTGCACCTGGGGCACAACAACCCCAAGCAGTGCTACAGGCTGGAAGATGAGTGGTTAGAAAGCTGCCTGGCGGAGAAGGACCTGGAAGTATTGGTCAATAGTGGGCTGAATATGAGCCAGCAGTGTGCTCAGGTGGCCAAGAAGGCCAACGGCATTATAGCTTGTATCAGAAACAGTGTGGCCAGCAGGTCTAGGGAAGTGATTGTCCTCCTGTACTCAGCTCTGGTGAGGCCACACCTCGAGTACTGTGTTTGGTTTTGGGCCCCTTGCTACAAGTAGGGCATCGAGGTGCTCAAGCGAGTCCAGAGAAGGGCGACGAAGCTGGTGAGGGGTCTGTAGAACAAGTCTTATGAGGATCGGCTGAGGGAGCTGGGCTTGTTCAGCCTGGAGAAGAGGAGGCTCAGGGGTGACCGTATTGCTCTCTACAGGTACCTTAAAGGAGGCTGTAGCGAGGTGGGGGTTGGTCTGTTCTCCCACATGCCTGGTAACAGGACGAGGGGGAATGGGCTAAAGTTGCTCCATGGGAGTTTTAGGTTGGATCTTAGGAAGAACTTCTTTACCGAAAGGGTTGTTAGACATTGGAACAGGCTGCCCAGGGAGGTGGTGGAGTCACCATCCCTGGAGTTCTTTAAAAGACGTTTAGATGTAGAGCTTAGGGATATGGTTTAGTGGAGGACTTGTTAGTGTTAGGTCAGAGGTTGGACTAGGTGATCTTGGAGGTCTCTTCTAATCTAGACAATTCTGTGAAGATGGAATATACATTTATCAAATGAATATGAAGATAACTGATGATTACAAGTGTATTATGCAAATGTATGTTTCTGAATTGTATAAATGTTTGTTGTGTGAGCAAATTGAACAAAGTTAGATTTGGGCAGACATGCCCCTAACTTCCGGTGGCAAATAAAGGACCTTCAAATAATCACTTTGTTTTTATGTGTCTTCGCGAACATTTTAACGACCCAGATAGGACCTCGTGGACATTGCTGAGGCAGCTCGCGAACCAATCACGCTCCAGCCAGCACCAAGGAGTGTCTTGGGGAGCCATCGGCCGTGACCAACCCCACTGCTCACAACGTACCTCTGGAAGGGTAAGAGAAAAGGTGCTTTCTGGTAATCGGTACTGATCTGGCCTGGGAGCCTGCCGGTCACACGCGGCGAAAGCCACGCACGGTTGGGCTAGGGAATTCCTGGGGTAAGCCTAGGTGTCATATGTAAGACAGTCACAAAAGCGCTGCAGATTCGGCAACAGTGGTCTGGTTTGGTAAAAGGTTATAGCTATATGTCGTGGTTCCAAATAGAAAAACTCAAATGTATTTTGGGCGGCAATACTCCCATACCACGATCTTCCCCTTTGGGCTGTTTACTAGCACACTGGAAGGAGGGAGGCTTTGGACAGGAGTTACGAAAAGGTAAACTAGTTGATTACTGTAATGTTTGGTGGCCACAGTATGAACTAGAAGATCAAGAGAGTTGGCCAGAAAATTGAACTTTGCAATACAATACTATCTTACAATTAATGTTATTTTGTAAGCAAGAAGGCAAGTGGGATGAGATTCCATATGTAGAATTATTTTTCTATTTGCAAGATAAGCCCGAGTGGCAACATGCTTGCAGGATAATGATGGCTGAAATAATTGTTGATGAGCAATGCAAAGCATGTACAGGAGAAAAGCGCTGTATAGGGCATCAAGCGTTAGAGAATGGTATGTATTATAGACAGGACGATGGAAATATATATTTGGAAGTAGTACCATCAGCCCCATTAGAACAAGGGCAGGCTGTCAGGGAAGAAAGTGAGGATAGTGAGGGGGAGAAGGAAGTAGAAAAAGGAGCGGTAGCTTCAGCTACCCCGGTATCATATAGAACCCGATGATGAGACCATAAAGGTGCTGCCGAATGTATGATAAGAGAGAAAGACGGAACAAGAAGACAAAAGAAAAACATAATTGCTCCTTTCAGACAAGGAGTAGGGACAGAAGGGCCAGTATATGTTAAAGTACTGTTTAATCCAGGAGACCCAGTAATTTGGAAACAAGTAGCAGGAATGTATCAGGAAAACCCTGATAAAGTAGCTAGGGTAATGAAAATGATAATTAAAACCCAGAATCCGGACTGGGATGACCTTCAAGTAATATTAGATACATTAATGGACTCAACAGAAAAGGATATGGTGTTAAGAGCAGCTAGAGAAAGAGCAAGAGAGGATATCCAGAATGGGTTAGTCCCAGGAAACATAGATCAGAATTTTCCAATGGAAGACCCACAATGGGACTATAACACAGGGGAAGGTATGAGAAGATTGAAAAGGTATCGGGACTGGGTACAAATAGGGGTGCAGAGTGCCATGCCCAAAACTATAAATTGGTCCAAACTGTATAATATTAGGCAGGAGAAAACAGAATCTCACTCCGCATTTCTGGAAAGGCTTAAGGAAATCGCAAAGAAATATACTGACCTAGATGTAGAAACAGAACAAGCTAAAGCACAGTTAGCTCTTATCTTTTTAGTACAATCACAGAAAGATATTCAGAAGAAATTACAGAAACTGGAAGGAGGAGACTTGAGAAATATGGATAGATTGTTAGAAATAGCCTGGAAAGTATACAACAATAGAGAAAATGAATCCACTAGGAGGCAGCAACAGATTCTGTTAGCAGTGATTCAAGGCAGAAGAAACCAAGGATTCAGAGGGAGAGCAAGAGGATTTGCTAGAGGACGGGGAGTTAGTATAGGAAGGGGTCGTGGAGACTTTAGTGGAAATCCAGGAGGAAGATCAGGATTGAATCAGTGTGCTTATTGTAAAAAGGAAGGGCATTGGAAAAATGAGTGTCTGTTTAGAAGAGACCGATTCTCGGGAAATTCATTTCAGAATCAGGAAGCCGTTAAGGCAATGGTGCTAGGAGATTTTAGTAGCTGACTAGATACAGAACATAAAGCAGCCAAAGAACCTTTAGTAAAGATTCAATTAGGGGATAAGGAAGTGAGGTTCTTGATAGATACAGGAGCAACATATTCAGTGTTAAATAGTTTAAAAGGACAATTACGAAATAAGACAGACGACTACAATAGTTGGAGCCACAGGGAAGGAGGAGGAATGGCTGTTTTTACAACCTCTTGATTTGCGTTTTGGAGGTAAGGAATTAAGGAATTAAGCCATGAATTTTTGTATGTACCAGAATGCTCGATTCCACTCTTGGGATGGGATTTATTAACTAAATGAGATGCAACAATAACCTTTGAGGATGGAGAATTAATAATGAAGGTACCTGAGTCTAAAATAGGACAAATCCCGATGATCAAAGATAAACCCTTTGTTAAAATTCCAAGAGAAGTAGAAAATGCAGTCATACCAATAGTATGGGAAACAGATGTACCAGGGAAGTCAAAACTGGCATGACTGGTAAAGGTGGAATTAAAGGAAGGAGCCAGACCTGTTTGAATCAAACAATATTCACTCAAAATAGAAGCTAGACAGGGGATAGTGAAAATTATTGACAAATTTCTTAAATACCAGATTTTGGAAGAATGTAAATTGGAATATAATACTCCAATTTTTCCAGTAAAGAAGCCGAATGACGAATATAGATTGGTACAAGATCTTAGAGCAATAAATGAAAGAACAAAGGACATTCACCCAGTAGTAGCTAATCCTTACATATTGTTAACATCTGTGAGAGAGAAATATAAATGGTTTACCGTGATAGATTTAAAGGATGTCTTCTTTTGCATACCTCTTGATAAAGATAGTAGAAAATTATTTGCCTTTGAATGGGAAAACACGCAGAATGGATGAAAGACACAATTAACTTGGACAAGACTTCTGCAAGGCTTCAAAAATAGCCCGACCCTCTTCGGAAGCCAGCTGGCCAAGGAACTGGAGATCTGGACAACGCAAGGACAAATACAGGTACCCATAAGTTAGTATTTGTTGTTACAATATGTAGATGATATTTTGATTGCCGCAGAGAATGAGTCACTCTGCACCCAAATAACCATTGAGATTTTAAATCAGTTAGGAATGGGTGGCTATAAAGTTTCAAAAGAAAAGGCACAAATAGTTTGCTCAACTGTAACATATTTGGAGTGTGAGATTTCTCAGGGACAAAGAACTCTGGGCATCAACAGGATAAGAGCCATATGCACTATCCCGGAACCTCAAAATCTCCATGAGCTAAGGGCTTTCTTAGGAATGGCTGGGTGGTGAACACTACATATAATGGATTACGGACTCATAGCAAAGTCCCTTTATGAAGCTCAGAAGGCACATAATTTTATTTGGGGAAAATTACACAAAGAAGCTTTTAAGAAACTTAAAGACGCTCTAATGAAGTCACCAGCTTTGGGCTTACCAGATCTATCAAAAGATTTCCAGTTATTTGTACATGAAAGACAATGACTAGCATTAGGGGTACTAACTCAGCGACTGGGAAGCTGGAAAAGACCTGTGGGATACTTTTCCAAACAGTTGAATGCTGTAAGTGCAGGGTGGCCCTCACATTTGTGGGCAGTGGCAGCAACAGTTCTCTTAATCCAGGAAGCAAGGAAACTTACCTTGAGAAAACATGTTGAAATTTTTGTACCACATATGGTAACAACCATTTTAGAGCAAAAGGGGGGCCACTGGTTATCACCCAGCTGGATGATGAAATATCAGGCAATACTAACTGAACAAGATGTTGTAACCTTAAAAATGACTAACTTGTTAAATCCAGAAGTATTTATATCCTAGTATTTCTAGGAACTGTTCCAGTAGAAGGACCGTTAGAACACAATTGTGTGGAAATAATCGAACATACTCATGCTAGCCGCGAAGATTTGAAGGATATACCCCTTGAAAGGTATGACTGGGAACTTTTTACTGATGGTAGTAGTTTTGTGGAAAATGGAACACGATATGCAGGGTATGCAGTGACAACCTTGAAAACAGTAATCAAAGCAAAACCTTTACCACCTGGAACATCGGCACAGCGAGCGGAACGGATAGCTCTGACTTGAGCACTGGAACCGAGTAAAGAAAAGATGGTAAATATTTGGACAGATTCAAAGTATGCCTTTGGAGTGGTCCACGTTCATGAAGCGTTATGGAAAGAGGGTTGTTGTCCTCACAAGGGGCCAATATAAGATATCAAGAGGAGGTGTTAAATTTGATAAATGCGGTACAAAAAAAAAAGTGGCTGTTATGCACTGAAAGGCCCATCAAGGAGGAACCTCAAAGATATCAGAAGGGAATTGGTTGGCAGATCGAGCAGCTCGACAAATTGCTCAGAAGGTGTGGAGTGTGATGGCTTTGGTACCGCTCAAGGTAGGCCCCAGTCATCTTAATCTTCCCAAGGAACCAAGATATTTGCCAGAGGATGAGAAATTAGCAAATCTCCTAAAGGCCCAAAAGAACTCTGATGGATGGTATGTAACCGCTACGGGCCAGCTGGTATTATCCCCCTTGGTGATGTGGGCAATACTCCAGACAAGACATAATGAGTGTTACTGGGGCGCAGAGGCAATGGTAACATTTTTAAAACGTAATATTATCTCTACACATATGTTAACGATGGCCAAACCAGTAATGTCAAAGTGTGAGATTTGTCTGAAAAATAATCCAGTAGCAAGAAAACATGCTGAAATGGGAAAAGTTAGAGTAGGAATAGAACCGGGAGATTACTGGCAAATTGATTTTGTAGAGTTACCTAGGACTAGGGGATATAGGTATCTTTTAGTAGGGGTTGACACCTTTTTTGGATGGCCAGAAGCCCTTCCCTGTCACACCAATCAAGCTAAAGAGACAGTAAAATGGTTCTTGAGAGAAATCATTCCAAGGTTTGGGGTACCGTTAGGCATATCCTCAGATAGGGGACCACACTTTATTGCATCCGTGGTTAAAGATGTAAGCAGGCTATTAGGAATTTCTTGGAATTTACATACTGCATGGAGACCCCAATCTAGTGGACAGGTAGAGAAGATGAACCAAACACTGAAGGGACAGATTAGTAAAATCTGCCAGGAAGCCAAAATACAATGGCCACAAGCTTTGCCTATAGCCTTATTGAGAATAAGGATAAAGCCAAGGAGTGGAATGTCAGTAAGCCCATACAAAATTATGTATGGAAAGCCTTATGAATCCCCAGAACCAAATCCTAATATGCACATGAAAGGGAACCAGGATGTTTATAATTATGTATTATCTCTTGGTAAAACTTCAGCTCAACTTCGAAGTGTTTTGGTATGGAGAACCCTGTCCACAATATTCAGCCAGGAGACCGAGTGTATATTAAAAATTGGAACGAAGAACCCCTGAAAGAACGGTGGGCCGGACCTTATCAAGTATTATTGACTACTTTTACAGCTGTAAAGGTAGAAGGGGTGGATGCTTGGGTTCATTATACTCGGGTGAAAAAGGTTCCTGAACTTTGGTCGGTGCAAGCAATCAGAGATACAAAACTACAGATGAGGCGCGTATAACCATACAATGTCAGGGTTCTTAACAATGGTAACAATAATTGTTTTGTGTAAATACCTTGTAATTGGGTTCCTAGAAATACCAAAAAGGTATAAGAAAGAGGAAATATTTGAGGGAGAAAATGTTACTTTGGAATGTGGAATGCAAGACAATAAACCAATAACAATTATCTCTGTACAGGTGGTTTGGGAGAAAATAAATTACTTTGGACAGAGACAGGAAATATACATAAATACAATCAGGGACAATACAGGAGTGAAAGATGGATGGAAGGGAAAGGCTTTAAAGTTTCCTTTTAAAGGAAAATTGGAAAGCCTACAAATTAGTAGAGCAAAAAGAAGTTTAGAAGAAGGGGCAGATGAAGCTATATGGCATGAACCCTCGAGTGGAGTTAGCACCAGTAGCTACTTACCGAAATAGGGAGATGATCTACAAACTTACAGGACAAGTAAGTAGGCTCGCGAGAGCCACAAAAGAGGGTTTTAGAGATTTTAATATCCAACTACAAGCTACAACTAAAATGACTCTACAGAACTGATTGGCATTAGATACACTCTTATTAAAGGAACATGGAGCGTGAGGATTTTTAAAAGATCGTATTGATCATTGCTGCATCCACATTCCAAATGTGACTATCGATGTAGAACATGATATAGAACAGTTGACTCAAGTAGAACGAGATGCAGAACAGGAAGAGAAAGATATGACGACAAGCTGGTTGGATAAAATTTTTAGCGGACGTGTTGCAGCCTGAATCCTAGCAGGGACGGGCTTTGATAAGATGTTTTAAGTGTGGCCAGGCTGGCCAATTCAAATAGGAATATCTGGAGTGGAAGAAGGAGGAAAGAAGGAAAATGGGATGAAATATGGTATACTGATATGTTGTTTCAGCATCCAGGAGGGGGAAAGGTATGGAATTAGGTTGGCCAATGACTGAGCCTTTCGTGAAAGTACAGGCTGGAGAATGATAAAAAGAAGTGTTAAAAAGCGTTATTGAAGGTGTTAAAGGTGTGGCGTGTAGCATTTGACAGAGCTGTTTGAAGTTGAATGAGCAGGGAAAGGGGATGTAGGCATTATCTAAGTAACAGTCTAGAAGTTTTGGTATATTTGCTGTGGTGTTTGGTCAGTTTCCCAAGTATCGGGAAGGGGGGGGGGGGGGTTGGGGGGGACAGCCTGCTCCACCAGAGGCCTCTCCACAGACCACAGGGGGGCTTTGGCTCTGGCGCCTGGAGCACCTCCTCCCCCTCCTTCTGCACTGACTTTAGTGTCTGCGGGGAGGTTTCTTGCACCTTGCTCTCCCAGCTGCTTTTGAGCAGCAGGTTTTTGTTTGTTTGTTTGTTTGTTTTCTTGGATGGGCTCTCACAGAGGCACAGGCTGTGTTGCTCATGGCATGGCTCTGGGCAGCAGTGGGCCCCTTTGGGGCCGGATGAAATTGTCCCTTATCTGCCACGGGGAGGCTTCTGGGTTTTTCTCATGGGGGCTGCCACTGCAGTTCCCCCCCCGAACCTTGCCATCGAACCCAGTACACTGGGGCAGCTAGGTCATTACTGGCTTGTAAAGTATCAGGGATTAAATTCACTAATGAAACCCTAAAAAGTGATGGGGGTAGAAGGGGCTGGGATAACAGTGCCACCTTTGGGGGATACCAAGCTGAGACTAGGGGATAAAATGATCACTGGGCAATTACTGTATCTACCCAAGGTAGGGACTAACTTGTGAAGGGATTTCATAGAATCATAGAATATCCTGAGTTGGAAGGGACCCTTAAGGATCATCAAGTCCAACTCTTGACACCGCACAGGTCTACCCAAAAGTTCAGACCATGTGACTAAGTGCACAGTCCAATCTCTTCTTAAATTCAGACAGGCTCGGTGCAGTGACCACTTCCCTGGGGAGCCTGTTCCAGTGTGCAACCACCCTCTCTGTGAAGAACCCCCTCCTGATGTCAAGCCTAAATTTCCCCTGCCTCAGCTTAACCCCGTTCCCGCGGGTCCTGTCACTGGTGTTAATGGAGAAAAGGTCTCCTGCCTCTCGACACCCCCTTACGAGGAAGTTATAGACTGCGATGAGGTCTCCCCTCAGCCTCCTCTTCTCCAGGCTGAACAGGCCCAGTGCCCTCAGCCGTTCCTCGTACGTCTTCCCCTCCAGGCCTTTCACCATCTTTGTAGCCCTCCTCTGGACACTCTCCAACAGTTTCGTGTCCTTTTTATACTGTGGTGCCCAGAACTGCACACAGTACTCGAGGTGAGGCCGCACCAGCGCAGAGTAGAGCGGGACAATCACCTCCCTTGACCTACTAGCGATGCCGTGCTTGATGCGCCCCAGGACACGGTTGGCCCTCCTGGCTGCCAGGGCACACTGCTGGCTCATATTCAGCTTGCTGTCTACCACGACCCCCAGATCCCTCTCTTCTAGGCTGCTCTCCAGCGTCTCATCGCCCAGTCTGTACGTGCAGCCAGGGTTTCCCCGTCCCAGGTGCAGGACCCGGCACTTGCTCTTATTGAACTTCATGCGGTTGGTGATCGCCCAGCTCTCCAACCTATCCAGATCCCTCTGCAAGGCCTTTCCACCCTCATTCGAGTCCACAACTCCTCCAAGTTTGGTGTCATCAGCAAACTTGCTCAAAATACCTTCTATTCCTACATCCAGATCGTTTATAAAAATATTGAAAAGTACCGGCCCTAAAATGGAGCCTTGAGGGACCCCACTGGTGACCGCCCGCCAGCCTGACGCAGCCCCATTTACCATAATCCTTTGGGCCCTGCCCGTTAGCCAATTGCTCACCCATCGTATGATGTTTTTATTTAGCTGTATGGTGGACATTTTGTCCAGTAGGATCCTATGGGAAACTGTGTCAAAAGCCTTGCTGAAGTCCAAAAAAATCACATCAGCTGGTTTCCCTTGGTCCACCATTTGATGATGAAATTGGGCATTCAAATAGTAAATTGTTAGGCTGGAATAACGGTGTTATTAATGGAGTGCTCTCAGGCTCTGAGAGCAAAGATATATTCACCTCTGACTGGAAAGACCCTGAAATGGGGGCGGAAGCAACAATACAGATGGACAATTTTACCTCAGGGCTTGGGAGTATTGAAAAATAAATTACCATATGTAGAAAGAGAAGTCAGGTATTTAAGGTATCTAATGTCTAAAGGAAAACAGAATAAATCCAGAGAGGATTCAGGGAATTGTTGAAAATTAAGAAAGACCTAAAAAGTTTTAAAAGAAAGATTTCTTTTAAGGAACCAGGAGCCACGAAGTCTGAAGGAAAATGGATACTCCCTGATGGGAGAGAAATGCTGAATAAAGCACCAGTGAGGCAAATATTAACTGTTTTACATCAAGAGAGTCATTGGGAGGTGCAAGCAATGTGCGATGTTGTGCTAAGAAAGTATGACTGTGTAGGAATATACACTTCAGTGAAGCAAATATGTAGAGGATGTACCATATGTCAAAAGGTAAATAAAAAGGTCTTCTGTAACCCACCTAGAGGGGGGCGGGAGCCAGAGTTTCAAGCTTTCCAAAGTATACAGGTAGACTTCACTGAGTTACCTGAAGTAGGGAGACTTAAGTACTTGTTGGTCCTAATTGACCACCTGACTGGATGGACGTACACTTTCCCCTCGGTATCTGCCACTGTGAACACGGTGGCTAAGGTATCAATGGAGCAAATAGTCCCTAGATATGGGATAGTTGAAAACGTTGATTCAGATCAAGGACGTCATTTCATTTCACAAGTACTGCAAGGGTTAAAGCAGGCCCTAGAGATTGAGTGGGATTTTCACACCCCCTGGCAACCCTCCTCTTCTGGGAAGGTGGAGCAAGTGAACCAGATATTAAAGAAGCAATTAACTAAATTAGTGTTAGAAACCCAACTTCCTTGGGTAAAATGCTTACCTTTAGCACTCGTACAAGTTCAAACAGCACCAAGGCAGGAAATAGGAATTTCACCATATGAGATGCTATATGGATTAAGCTATCCAGACAGAAGGGATGAGATACCACAATTCAAAACAAGAGAGTTTTCTTAAGAACTGTATTCTGGGGTTGTCCTCTTCTTTGTCATCTCTCAGGACCTGTGGGTTGTTGGCTCAAACCCCCACCACCATCAACCAGGAAACCGGGTCCTGATTCGGACCTGAAAGAATCAACTCCGGCCTGAAGGGGAAGGACCATTCCAAGTACTACTAACCACTGAAACAGCCATAAGAACTGCGGAGAAAGGTTGGACTCACTATACTCGAGTGAAAGCACCTATCGACCCTGGTATCTGGGAAGCTGTTCCTACAGAAGACTTGTTGAAAGTTAAAATCAAAAAGAAAAACCTCATAATGGACTCTGAGCAGAAGAAAAGCTTTCAATTGTAAACTAACCTTTAATTTTCACAGGTAACTAATGAGTGTGACTTGTGATTGAGAGAAAGGACTGGCCTATAGCGAATTGAAGTGCTCCCAAGGGGTTTTTGTTCTAGTAGTAATGTACATGTATCTTATTCTTTGTATTGATAATTATTTGGAAACCTAAGGGTTAAAAATAATGACAGGGAAAAATCAATGACTAATTTTGTTTTTAGTGATTGTAGGCCTCAGAGAAGGCCTCGGTTAATTGGCAACTTGGAAAAGGCATGACCAGATAATAGCAAAGATGGGATACCCCATCAAAATATGGGTGACAGTGACAGAGGGTTATGTACCACAATCTGTCACATTTGATGCTTGTGAGGTGTTAGCTTGTGGAGATTTAAATGCCCTGTGACAATTGAGCAGAGAGAACAAATAACTGGGAGAGACCCAACAGCCAGATTGAGAACAGCTGTATGGAAACGATCCTCTTTTGCCATCAGAGAAAGGGAGAAACTCAAGGAGAAAACAGGAGAGAAAACAGGAGGCCCTCTTTGAAATGCGGCAGTTCAAACATTTGAGATTCAAACAGGGTATGGGGATGTGAATGCCTGGATAGAATGGGTCAAATATACCGTCCAGAGTCTCAACCATAGCAATTGCTATGCTTGTGCCTTGGGACGACTGATTGCCCAGATAGTGCCCTTCCCATGGGGGTGGACCGAAGACTCCCAAGAGATGTGATGTATGATTGCATTGTACCAAGAAAAGACTGCCTGGGGAAATGAGGCCTGTAAGTCTCTCTTTGCTGTTCCTTGCGTGATAGCAATATCAGGGCTCCCCCTGCATTCTCTACAGCTATAGGTAACCATAAAGCTTGCCTCTCACAGCAGGGTGTGAGTGCTTCCCGGCATCTGGGAGAATTTGCCTTGTGCAGAAGGACCTTGAATGTTACCAAGGACTTGATGGGAAACTGCTCAAGACTTGAGACCCCCAGGGCATATCTCTGGTGGTACTGTGGAGGGAAGATTTTACGTTCCACCCTACCATCTAACTGGTGAGGCACTTGTGCACTTGTTCAATTAGCTATACCCTTCACCCTGGCATTTGAAAGAAAAACATCACAAATACCCACAGTTTTTATTCCCGCAGTAATTATCACCACTGTGCAAATATCAAGGTTGTCAAGCCGCTTATTCATGGAAGATCAGCAAATGATCTCTCAGTACTTAATGTCTTTACTCTTGCTGTTAAGCATTCCACATAAGATGGTCTCCATATAAAGAATATTAATGCAAAAAAGTATATATTCTCAGGCCATGACATAGCTATTGGTTTCAAAGTTTTTACTAACTTTCATATTATAATAGTAATGGCACTTCACGTCTTTGCAATTTCTATCTGCTTTGCTTTCTTATAGGTCAACACCTGGTACACAAATAATGCAAAAGTTGTCAGAGTATCACGTTCAGATCAACAGTTCTTTATGCATTTCTAATCAAGTCCCTCAGCCTTGAAAAAAATCCAAATGACTGAAAGAAAGAGATTTTTCTGCTGGATCTTAATGAGTTAACCTCTTCCACTTGCAACATTTCCTCCAAAGTTTTTTTTTTTTTTTTTAAAAGCTTTAATCTGCTGCTACATCTGTTCTGGCCTCTGGTGGTCAAACAAGACAGTTGAGTCTAGTTTTTGAATAAACTTGAAGGTTCCCTCTAAGAAATCTTACCTACAT